GAACGGCAAGACTGTTGAGATAGAAGGTAAACAATTTTGGGTTTTGCCACTTAAATATAGCCCTAAAAATTCCTCAGGGTCACTAGTACTTCCACCGTCATCATCATCCTTCTATCTTTGACACTACAAATGTGATTACAACCGCCATCAAGTCTTGGTACACTTGAAGTACGTCGTTTAAACCGAAGAAATTAAACGTGACATAGGCGCTTTTACTAATGACGCTGGAGTCTAGTAGTGCATGCTCAGGTCAGTTTTGTTGTCGTTTGTGCTGCTCGACTTCGTGTTTATTGACAAGGAAGACATTTTGTTCGTGAAATGGTGTCTTTTACAATACGAGGTGCAGAAAATTGCATGTTTGAAAGTGAAACCTAGAAATAAACTAATTACAAAAATTTATGTAACTTTTCTCAGTTTAAAGTGGTAACGAGGTTTACAGACGGACAACAGCTAAGAGTTTTGTTTATAGCGGTATTCCAAATTACATACCGTACTTCTCAACTGACGAAACTTCTGTCGCTCCAATGAGAATTTTAAACAAAATTCTGTACTTCATATGGAATTATAAATGCGTGCGTTAGACTGTACGAATTTGGTTGCACAGGCCTGCAGGATTTTTTTAAATTTAAAACTGTTCACAAACGGCTGTTTATTTTACACAATACACAAATGGTTACGACATAAATTCTCTTCACGTTGGTCATCTTGGTGAAATCATCAGAATTCCTCACACAGCCCCACGATCTCAAGTATCCTACTTATGGAATCATTGCCTGGAAGATTAATGAATTAATATTTCCAGTAATTTTTATCACACGACATTTTTATTAATATTTACAACTTTCGCTATTTCCCAAAGTCCTTATATTGCGTTGCTAGGTTTGACAGAAGAATGTTTCATTATACAAATCTTTGATTTTCAATACTTAAATCATGTTTTAGGGGCCACAATTCAACTTAATAATTGTTGTATTCCTCCTATACCTAAAAACGAATTACTGTCGACAGAGTGCTATATATACCAGTATTGAGCACGTTAAATAAACTGAGCTACAATGGATACGAGAATGTCCTATATCTTACATTTTATATTCATCATTATAATAAATCACAAGGAAGGTCGTTTAGAGCCTACATTTCACATCGTCCAACGGTTTGACGAATGATGGATGGATCCAATAAGTATTCTGTTAAGTAAGCGTTTAATTTTTCGCCTTTCTTATGGATATTAAAGGATCTGTTTTTGAAAAGTGCAATCCTCTTTATTCATGAAGTTGTACTTCTAAAGATTACAATTTGTGTTTTGGTCTACGATGCTACATCCTACAGCCCAAATTTGACAAAATAAGTTAGGGACTGAAGGGCTAAAATTTAAATTTTTTGTGTTTATGTTTAGTAATTATTAATGCCCTCCCGAAATCTTATTCTGCACCTAAAAGAAGAAGCTTTCTACATGTATTCATGCACGTATATAAATATATTTTAAAATGTAATGAGAACAAATACAATCTTTTTTTTTTCAATAGTTATGTACAGGCTAGAATCTATGAGTTTCGGGACTAGTGCACAATTCAATGGTTCATCTGATTGCACACGTAAATGTGATTCATAAACAGATAGCCGGTTGGTTTAACTTCGATATCTTTTGGTGTGCTGAAAGGACAACGAGATGCTGGAACGGCTTTGTGTGGGAGATGCGAGACATGTAACAAAATGGGCGCCTGCAGACGGAATGCGCAGAAAATTCATGCGCACTGTGTCAAAACAAATAAGATCCCGGACGCCGAAGGGTCATACAGAAATTTCGAATTGTGGAATTCCTCTCTTATGAGACTTAATAACCCGTACGATTATGGAAGGTCTTAACACTTCTGCCTGACGAATATTACGAGATATCTCGTGAGTGAGGAGATGTAATAGAGGAAAAGCATTTTAGACGTAAACTTCAACAACATGGAGTGCACAGTAAGTTAAAATTTTGTAGGATTCTTAAAGAATTGTCGACTTATATATGGATTTATTTAATAAAACTGTCAGTAAGTCAGACTGTGTAGGAACTGAAGATAGGATGATTATTGAATATTGCATTGGAAAGGACAAGGAAGTAAGTGGTGCTGGCTTTGTTGTGGTATTATCCCGGCATGTGCCTGGAGGAAATGAGTAAAATCATGACAGAAATCAGGTTAGCTGGTTTCAGGAACCTTCAGAATATTAAGCTTCCAATGTTATTTAAATTGGTAAACGATATTCTTTGAAAAGAAAACGAAAGATTGTCACCACTGTACGAGAATGTTGAACCGACGTGGAGATAAAGCTCCACGCATTCTAGACAACGGCTACTTCTTGGCAAAGCGTTCTGACCTAATCATCATCGAGGGAGAATTTCCCCGTTTGCTTTGGCTCCAGAGACGGTCTAAACGTGACAATGCTGCCGTCGCCAGGAATCAAACCACGGCTATTCGACCCGTACTCAAGCACTGTATTAACATCATCCTGGCTAAGTTATACAGTATAAAATTTGAAGTTTGTAGTTTTTGAAAACAGTACATTTCTTTAAAAAAATCTGTTGTCTCCTTGAGCCTTTGTTTCATGGCTGTAATCTGATTTGTTGCTTCTAATTCCCAGAACTGGCGCGTGGCTTCGCGTATTAGACTACAACGTGAATCACCGTGTTTGATTCTAGGAATAGAGTCTGCTTACAAGATCATGTCAGCCCTTGATCCGCAACCTCGCCAGTCGATTTTACAGTTACATCCAGACGTTTGTAACAAACGCGTGTGTTCCAAAACGAACACATCGACTAAGTGACCTTTTTGCTTCTCTTACACAAAAAAGAACAAACATTTGATTGACTGTAAAACCAGAGTCATAATTCCGTATGTGTGCTGCAAGGAATTTAGTAAAACCACGAAAAACTCGGATAATACATGTCTGTGGGTCGAGAATCGAACAGGGCGTCTCCAGGAAGCGAAGCAAGACTTGGTCGACCGCGACTTTCCGTGTAATAAATGCAAATATTAATATAATTCTACTTGCACTTCTATTTCGCAATTAGACTTGTCCGCCTGCATAAATGTTACGAGACAGAAAGACTTCGAGACTTCCCTGCAGTTGGTAGGATGTCATTTCAACATTGTGCAACACGTGTTCAAGAAACATGAAGCATGGCAAATCCAGTAACACGCAACGCCATGACAGTAAAAATGCAACAGACTGCGCTGTGGTGACTCAAACAAGCAGCTGCATTGAAAAACCAAGAAAAAAGAAATAACACTGGTACCTGTCTGTCGTAACACGATCCAAGGGAGTGGCTATTCCAGTCGGACTAGCTGATGAGAAATTCGTAAATATGAACTGCAGTCTCACTGTAACAAAGCTAGCAAAGAATGAAGAAGAGTTTTGATACAAAATCGATCACATATCGATCTGCGATTCCAAGGGAAGAGCCTGAGAATAAAATACATAAGGAAGAGACGGGAAATGCAAGCCCATACAAAATTTTAAACTGATAACTTGAAGTGAACACACCAGTTGGCAGTCAAAACGTAAATGAGAGGATCATATTCAAATGGGCCTTAAATACGTGAAACATGAGAAAGTGGACTTGATTTATATTGCTAAGTAAATTTACAGTTCGATGTTCTTGTTAACACTAATTATACGTCTTACACAAAGCGTGAAAGATAAAAGGTCTCGTGAAATAACTTCTTATTAATTACACAGACTTTCGAAACAACACTGCTGATGGTCTAATAATAATATTCGTAAATACTTTTTTCAGAGACAAAATGCTTGTTTCTTTAAGGGTTGAACACTAACATCATCACGAAATGACGGTCCAGGTTAAAAGGCTTGTGATGGACTTATGGTGTTTAGAGCAGAACAACGAATAAAATGCCACCTTGACATTCAAAATATATTCTCTGCTCACAATTTAAACAATAATAATTATGTTCAAAAATGACAAAGTTAATATTTTGTATGGTTCCTGAAAACAACGGAGACTGAAGGTGATAAAATACGTACGATAATATTAAACTGCAAGTAGATTTCAAAATATTAGGTCAAGAACATGTGACTTGACTGCCGCAGATCAAAACATGATGGCGAGATTTTGTTGTTACTGTGTTTAACACACGGCTCCCGTTACAACGGACCAGCTGACCGACAACTGATTCTTTCACTGGAGAGGTGTACTGATAAGCAGTTATTTACGTAGATAAGCCTGCGTAGATTGGAAGTAAGTCTGTGTATGTGTGTGTGTGTGGGGGGGGGGACACGGGGGG